CCAGGAGTTCACAGGCAGGAGATGGTAACTGCTCCCCAGGGATCCCACTGCTCCTTTAAACTGGCTGGGTCCCAGGGGCCGTGGGCTTCAGCAGCCACGACTGCTCTGCCCCACTCCACAGCCAGGGCTCAGACCCCACACCAGCCCCTCTGCCAGCACGCCTTGGCCGTTCTCATGACGCAAGTTGAGCACCGGAGCCGTGTTACACCAGCCACTCCTGTGCCGTCAGCTTTCCACAGCCAGAAAATCTCCCTCCTGAATTTCTCAGAAGTTCTGGCAGACTCATCTTAGGTATTCTGAGCATTATGTGGTCTGTCAGCAGCCTTTCCAAAAGCTCCTCTAGTTAAAAGGGTTACGGCTAGACCTGCATATACAGCAGCCACATGTCCCAGATAATATAAATTATTATTTTTATTTCCCTGGTACTACTTATTGCCTTTTAGCTAGGTTGCAGAATATAGCATCAGCTTTTAAGGAGTTAATTCAGATGCCAGAAGTAGTTTAATTTTAACAGTGCAGAACTTAGTACAGGACAGTTTTCCTGGCATCAAGTTTAACTACAGTCAGTTCTTGCAGGCAAACATGACTTCAGAACAGCTCCTCGGTTTAAGCGCAGTGGTTTTTAATAGTTAAGCTAACCCAAGAGCACTATAGCCACACACACTGCACTCAGTGAAAGAGTCACACCTTAAGCTCGCTCCTCAAACCCAGCCTCCAGGAGGTGGCAGCGTTGTCAGTGCCAGAAACCAGGAGAGGGACCACAAACATCGTGTTTTTTCTCGGAATGAAACGGTTCCCCTTCCAACTCCCACTCATCAGCAACCTCTATGAAATACTAGTACCAAATAAGATATTATAATGGGAAGGTATAAACTCACACTAGTTATCTATAGTTAAAAGAACAGAAGTTTAGTGTGACAAAGGAGTGCTCTTTACTTCTCTTTCTCTGTTGCAGTTACCTGCATTTATTGATAAAAGTAACTAAGGTGTTTAGGTAGCCTTAGCACCTGGGCTGAGTAAATTATTAGTCCACGTATTTCTTCTACTAAGGTCAGCTGAACTTCCAAGCAGATGTGAAGCACTTCTGAGTACTTCGCTTCTTTATGACAGGGTAGTTTGAAAACTGTCGTACTGCAAACGTCCCTCTCCTTCCCCTCCTTTTGGACTGCTTTTCTATTTTGAAACCACTGACACATTTGTTGACAACTTCTACTTGCCAACACATTCTATGATTAACAGCAAAATTATAGGGAAAAGAGCCTCTTTCAAATTTTGCTCAATCAAGCAGAAAACCTGAGTTCAGGTGCTTCTGAGATATACACTGATACTTCTGATAAACATTTGCAACAGCAAACATGTTTGGAGTATTCCTTCAGCCTCTTTCTCCAGGGCACCAATGGATATAATGGGCAAATAGTTACAAATGCAATTCATGGCATTAATTAGTGCAAAACTTGAAGTACAAAAACTCTCAGAAGAATCAAAGAAGCAGCCGTCACAAACTGCTTTTGTGGTTTTTTTTCGGGCGGGGGGGGGGAAGTTGTTTGTATGATGCTTCTTAGAAGTTTGCTGTCCTCCACTCTAATTAAAAATAATGCTTCCTAGTAAGTACTGTAAGATGCTCGTTAGCCTGCTACGAATTGGAAACATTCCAGAAATCATTTTGGGTGGCGCTACCCCACGAACACCTAAATGATCTTACTACATAAAGAAGAGACTGTTTTGCTTTTGTTATGAATTTTACATCTGCTTAAATATGCCCTAAATATTGGTAACTAACACTAGCTCACATGACAAATTCAGGATTTGTTACAACTTGAATGCCTGAACGGTGTTCCCACATCTCACCGATCTCTATACTTGTATCAGTTTGGAAGCCAGGATGACTTTTGCAATTCAATGTAGAAGTTGAGCCCTGCGTATTAAATCAATACCAATTTTCTAAATGAAATTAAATGCAACACTTCTGAAAGGGAACGGGATACACGCCTAATTTCCTCTTATGCATGTTCCTCAAATACTGCCCTCAACTTTAGAAGTACTTCTACTTAACACTCACTTATCAAAGCAAGTTTAAGGCATTTCCCACTCTAGTTATTAAACAAATAAATAGGATTATCTGCACTGGGAATATCAAGATGTTATACAGTGCCACTAATCAGGCTCCAGATTTTGGTGTCCAAAGTCACTTCCAAGTACAGCCCTGACTCACTCCCCAAAAGAGCTACAGAAAAAAAACAGAAAGTGAAGAAACACAAACTAATTGGGTAATGGAAAAAAAGAAATCGCTGCTCTACATACCTGCATGCTACTAGCACTAAAGATCCTTTTGCATTTTTTAAATGCAAAACAGGTTGGGAGGAGAAAAAGGGGCTTGGTAGCAAGGTTTAGATGCAAATATACTGCATATGCCTCCATCACCCACTACACCTGTAAGAGTGGCTTGATTTTCTTCTTGCTACTACATGATACAGTAGTAACAAATCTTCTATCTAACAAGTACGGGGCAAACATATAAAGTAAATCCATGCCTGAAACATGGAATACTGACTGATGGGAAGACTATTAGAGAGATTAATTCTGCTACTCATGTTAAGATTCCTTAATTCTTAAAGAGTCTCGTGCATCTAAGTCACTAATGAGGATTTGCAGAACATGGCTTGGAGCTGTGGGAGAACGCAGGCGGTATTTTGAAATCCTGTACGTAGAAGAATCCCATCCTCAGCTTCCTCTAGGCGACCTTAAGTCCAAACATTGGACACCCAGATGTCTGAACTAGTCATCTTCAACACCTTTCATAATCGATGTTCAAAATACACATTTCTAACCGGAGTCACTTTGTTCTAAGATTAGTGTCTAAACCAGGGGATGTTTTCTCCAGCGAAGGTGTTTTTCATGACAGACTAGCTCAGACCTAAGAGTCCTAGCTGTTAGATACCCAAAAGTGAAGTGAGAAGACCCTCACGAATTTCCATAATGCTGTAACTTCTACGTTTTGACCAGCATATGAAGATTTGTTAATAAATAAAATCTTGTACATTGCTCAAAAAGTGATGTAATGGCAGCTTCTCAGGAAGATCACGGATCAAGCCTATCCAGCAAAACGCAGGACACATTTTTTTCACAAATACACAAACAATTTACCTGGGAATTTAGTAATGGTACAGAGTCTCCATATATTAGTACAACTTACCTTAGTAATAACAATCTGAAGTTCTTCCTTGCATTCGATACGAGAGTTCTTCATCGCACGAACCAAGTTGTTTTCTATTCATTATTGAGGTCCAGTATATACACATATTTTTGAACCAATTTAACAATTTAGCCACAGGAGTTCAATTTTCTACTGGAACTGGTTACATCTGTATTACCTCCAGAGTAGTAAAAGTTAAAAGCAACCCCCTTAAAAAGCCCCCAAACTCGTTGCCTCAAAACCTGTACTCCCGTCTCCTAGAAAAAAAAAGCTATAGCAATTACAACATTTTAAGTGATATGGTTATACAGACACTTGAAATTATACTGAGATAGAAAGTGTCATAAACATTTGACATGTAAAACAAAGCCTTACAGTTTCATTTACGTTTTTCTCATCTAATTTTAGTTATGTTTAAAACACTACCCTCTCTGACAAAAAAAAAACTCTATAGCTTCTTTAGAAGAAGCTTAAAAAAAATGCAAGTTCATAAAAAACCCCGTATCTTAAGAGTTCACTATAAAAGAGGCACAGGGCCCAAGTAAGAAATATGCACCAAAAACACGCAGGGAAAAATTATAACCATTTAAAAAATGGAGATAGGTAAACAGAATTAAAACACACGTAGCAAGTCTCTACTACGTGCTGTAATAATAAACAGGGATTCAAGGTAGCTGGTATTCCCTTAGTGTTTAAAAGCTACATCTGAAAAAAAAAATCTTTTACATATACTTTACCTATAATGTGTTTAACACCTAGGTTTATTTCTGAAATTAAATGTAAATTGTCTAAGGTGTGGTTAAGAAAGCTTCGAGAACTGAGTTTCTGAATTAATTAGTCTTCAAGTGAGTAAACATCAGACACCAGGCCACGTGCTTCGTAAATGTGAAATGTAAGATTTCATCTGAAGTTCCACCACTGCATTACAGACCTACTTAGCTGGAGCCAATCAAGAAATGGCATTAGCACAAAGACTTGCTCAGGCTACAAAGCAGTATTTACTTACCTTTATAGAGAGAGTTAAAAGGATGCTACTCAAAACCTGCAAAAATATGGGAGGCAGTATCTCTGCCCAATACCCCCTTACGATGTGTTGTGTGTGTGGATAATGTGTGAAGTATGAACATATAAAGAGAAAGGAAAACAAAAATAAAGTACTGCCTCCCCCCAAACTTAAAAGTAAAGAATGATTCTTAAATTATTTCATGTAAGGAAGAAAAGCAGCAGGAAGAACTCGGATATACATGACAGTCAAAAACTGTTTGCAGAAGGGTAAAGTATCGTTGGATACCACGTTGACGATTTCATTCTCAGCACTAGCACTGAAAATGCGAGACCTGAGAGACAGGTGCCAAATCTAAATTACAAAAATACAATTCAAATTAGTACAGTTGATTGCTGATTCACCGTGCACACCGCTCAACCTTTCAGTAAAACCTAGCACAAATGCATCGATACTTACCTTTACCAGATTAGAAACAGTGATTGCCTTTACAGGAAAAATCTAAAGCTTAATCATGTGGTTTTCATCCAGAAATCAGCTGGGTAGATTGACAGGCTCTCAATCATACAACTGTCATGTGATACAAATGAAACTTCTAAAAGCGTCCCCCATTTGTGTGCATCTCTGTGTGAGAATCTTTGAAGGTGGAGAAAAGTAAGTTGGTGCCATATTAAGGAGGAGGGGAAAAAAAAAAAAAAAAAGCCAAACAACTCCTAAACTCCCTAGTCTTGCAGAGCCAAGAATGGATGGGCATTCAAAGACAATGTAAATGGTTATTCAGGAATATCCCTATGCGATACATACATTTGAACAACAGTGAAGATGAAATGGCAGCAGTCCTTTCAGGCTTTACAGCATTGTAATTATGATCGCTTGCCCAGGACGGCGTGGGGGGTTCTGCCGCTGGCTCTTTAGCAATAGGCTGAGTGTCTGCCTCAGTCTTGGCAGCTGTCGGGACAGTCTTCTTCACATTCAGCTCTCTCTTCTCAGGAAGAGGTCTCTTTTGGTTTGTAAGAGGCTTAACACCTGCCTGTGGGATTAAAAGCAGCTTAATTACTAATAATCATCTAATATATTTTACAAACAAGCAGAGACAGAGCTACGTACACAAATTTATATGAACCTCCTGTACGTACACTTGACACTTTCACATTCAAGACTGTAAAGCAAAGGTAATATCCACCTCAAAATAACAGTGTCCATCATCAAGCTGTGGGTTGCTTTTTTTTTGGTGGCTTCTTTTTGGTTGTAGGGTTTTGTGGTTTTTTGTGTGTTTTAAATCTAGTGCCCATTTTAGAGTGGTTTCAGAAGAGAAAAGAGAAGGCTGTGATTTCATCGTTTTGCTTCTCAAAGGATACATACAATGTAGTCATGTTAGTTCACTGTCCACAGTAATTCCAAATTACTGCCCCAACCCCAGTTATTTGGATTTTAAAAGGGTAAAATTAATTTGGAATTAAATTAAAATAAAAAATATGTGCTGCTTATACTTTTTTTGAAGGTCAATTAATTTGGAATTAACTAATTTTGAAGTGCTCTGCCATCTAGAAGGTCCTTGCAAGAAATCATCTCTATCTGGAGGCAATTATTGAGACTTTTTTTTAAAGTGACAGGAAACTATTTTATCGGCAGAAGAATTAAACAATGCCTTTACCACAGATAAAGGCAAGACAACAAAATGAATGTAACAGAAAGCTTCTCTTCACTACAGAACTTGGCAGTTTTATTTGACTCAAAACAGCAGAGCACAAAAATAAGCTGCTGGGCTTCAGGACGACTGTTTTAGATCGTGAACATAAGGCTTACCTGCAGCTGAGATTTTGGCATGCCAGGTTTTTCAGATTTTGGTTTGATCTTCTCTTTAGGTTTTGGTTTTGCATCCTTGCCAGCACTTAAAAACTTCATCGTGGCTGCAGCATGTTTGAGAATACAGTCATTGCTGCAGTACACGGAGTCAGGCTGAGCCAGGTTGAAACAGCCGGGCCCAATGCACTTGGATGCACCAGGAGCTTCGATTACCTAGAGAAGGAAACGGAGTGAGTTCCCACATACCTTTACAACACGAAGAAATGTTTCGCTTATCACGTGCGGACCACAGCTGTGACTCTGTGACCTGCACAACTGCCAGCGTAAAAATGACATTCATCCACAATTTAACAGAAACAACCCCGGCAGATGTTCAGAATTTCACTTGTGTAACACACTATTTTCAGAATGGGTTGTGTTTTCCAGAGGTTGATCTGCTAGTAGTGAACTAAGGGAGGCTGGTTTCCTAAATTTTCACATCCCATAAGCACAGAAATGCTTTTTTCTAATCTTTTACGTCATGTAAGAAATTTCTTCAAAAATGTGGAACTGATTTCTCAAGAATAAGGTTTCTAAAACTCATTTTACTTATGTATCACCATCAGCCACCGTCCTCTATGATGCACACTTGCAAAGGAAGCACTCAGCCATTCAGGTGTACAGATAGTTCTTGCTCTAGAGATTTAATAATTTTAATTTTAGAAGTCTCCAACTTACATGAACACAATAATTTTGCCATAGCCTAACACTTCTTGCACGTTGAGAAGTTTGCATGTGCCATCTTTACATCACAAATACTCTCCATCTGTATCAGTGTTACGTACTAAGCACTTCCTCTTCAAATATAAAGATTTAGAAAATAGCACATTCCTTGAGTGCATTAGGTCAAAGTCTAGAAATATTTGAAGGCTCTTCAGGCTCCATCATATCATTCCTAGGAATTATACCTTCAGTCTCACTCTTCTAGATTACTCTTAAAACTGTTACACAACTGCCCTAAAACTCAGAACTACAGTAGTTCTAGACAGCCTCTCCCCAGTCAACGAACTACACTTTGTCATTATGAAAAGTAAGTTCTTCACGAGTATTTCCAGTAAACAAATGTGTTATTTGCACAGTGGGGCTTATTTTCCCCCAAAGCCATAGAACAGCATGATCTGCTGCAGTCTGACAAAACCTGGGTTTGGGAATTTTCCCATAAAAATTACTTTGATATGATCTGCAGTACTATTCCATCAAGTACACACTTAACTGAAGTACAAGAAAGTATCAACACATTCCCTAGTAACCACGTCCAGCTTCAGATTAACTGAGCTGCCATTTCTAAGTCAGGGCATGTACTCAGATGATGACAAAACTTTCAGTGTCGCTGTCCCTACTCGTACAATCTCTCAGAGTTTTAATCACAGACCAAAACTCTACAGCAGGAAGTGCTCACGAACAGCAACAACAAGGAGTCCACCTCAAAGTGCTTCGAATACTTATGTTAGAGAACAGATACACCGAGTAATCCAGTCACCAGGCACAGAGCGATTTCAGCACATCAGTATCTGAAATAGCAACGATCTTTCTGCCTACAAGAGGCAGGGAATTCTGCAGAGAGAGAGAGATGCCCATTCCTGAGGCACAGCCCTGGCTAAGGCAGGGATTTGACTGCCAAGTTCTCTTAAAATGGTATCACCTGGCAAACAAGTATGACAGTTCCATGCCACTTCCAAATGCCAGAAGAACGTCTAAAATATAAGCATTTCTCTCACAAGAGGCAGTGAGTTAATGATAATTATGGAGAGCTGCCTGACAGGCTGAAGGACCTGGGCAGCATGCTAGTAGCAGCGCATTGGTCGGCAATGCTCAGAAGTAGAACTTAATACGAACATCCTCTGCAAAATCCAGTCCAACTCAAAAATGTTTTGTGCACGAAGCAGCACTGTGAAGTATTTGAAATTGCATTTGAAAATATTTTTGAGGAAAATACTGATTTCTGCACATTTATCTTGAATCAGTAAATATTTACATACTAAACTGGAAATGTTGGGAACTATGCACGAAGCTGGTAGGGAGAGCTCTGCTATTTACACTTGCTGGGGGGGTGGTACTCCACAAACATTTTGTAGAAAATGCACTACCACGGAAAGATCCCTCCAAAGAGATACTCGAACTTGTAATACTATTCTAGGGATGATTTCAAAGTTGTCAGATCAGGCGTGAAAGAAGAAATTCATACAGAAAAAATATGAATCGCTGTGGCATTCTAACAGCAAACACACTAAACGCTCTTCAAGGCATAGTAAGAAGAAAGGGAAAACGTTCAAAATGTTGCCATTACTACAGTAGCTTGGGCAGTACAAAGACAAACACCACAGCGTGAAGTTCTGAAATTTGTGTACACTGAGCTGACGAAGCTTCTTTGCCTGTATTTGGAATTGGGCACTGAACTTGCTATTACAAGATTTAAACTTCTTTTCTATGCCAGAATTTGCAATTAGTTCGAAATATACGTTTTAATGTTAAAGAAGGCAGCATAAAATCATTCTCTCCGCACTAATGACTTGAAGAAATATCAGGACAAAAATCAGATCTTTGAAGACTAACTGGAAGTAAAGAGAAAGTACAGCTGGAATTAACTCCAACACACACTTGTCAATGTTAAGGAAAAAGTTTCACTATCATTCAAAATGTCCAAAATTGCTTGGTACTTCAAAGCTAGTATAAACCAGTCCAGAATTCTAATAGTTTTATTAAAAGAACAACTGATTATTTGACTTTCTAAACAGTTTTTAGAAAGGGCAGAATAGCACAAAGTGCTTCCTTGCACCTACATAAAACTTTTAAATCGTCCACTTCAAAATAACACTTAGTTTTGGTTCCTATACTGACAGAACTATGGATAAACTTCTGCTGAACAATACTATTTGTTGTTCAGATTCATATTGAACTTTAAAAAAAACCCCATTCAGATTAATAGCCATAAAAGTAAGCCATTGCCTCCATGTACTCAATGAAACATGAAAAACAAGAAACAATTAAAATACTTACAGGTTGAAATATCTTTAGTTTTTTCTTCCCACTTGGATTTGCAGCTTTTTCAATCCTACCCTTGATTCCTTGATCCTCAACAGATTTTTGTTCAATTGTTCCTATGCTTGTGAATTCTGTGCCATCCACATTTACTTGCCCCACTTTCGCTTCCTGCTGGTCTATTTCTGAAACGGGCTCATCCTGCCCCTGTAGAATGGTGCAGTTTGGACAGATATAGTCCTCACCATTCCTTTCCAACAATCGCCCTCGAGCCTCAGAAATACCCACGCAGTCACCATGAAACCATTCCTCACATCTATCACAACAAATCATAAACCTGAAAAAAAAAAAAATCCAAGGAACAATAAAATGCTGTGAAGAGACAATTAACACTCAACAGATATTTCAAGCAGCAGATCTGAAGTTCCCCGCTAAAGTATCAACCTCACTGCTCATTTCTGTCTTCATTTATCCCCTCTTCTAAAGATTATTATAACCCCCCAGCCCAAACTTCAAAATACCCAACAGCTCATTCACCTATGCTGAAAAAGCAAGCATTAGCATTTGGTTTAATTTTTTTCATGACAGAAGAATTCCAACTACTTGCACCGGATTTTCAGCCGACACCTTTGCGTACCTGTTGTTATGGGGCTGACGACAAATGCAGTACAGCGCATTCGGGTCATAAATCTCAGACTCAGGTTTGCTTTTGGGTAGTTCGGGTTCTTCATCTGTGATCCCTTTCACACCAAGGGTAGGCTTTACCTCCTGCTGAGCCTGGAGATCTTCAGTGTCTTCCTCAGACACCACCACCTGACTCGCAATCTCAGTGTTGTCGGCAGTCTCAGGCTCTTGTTTGACAGGCAGCTCAGACTCCACCTGTTTTTCAGACTGGACATCATCTGCTTCTGCAGGATCCTGTTCTGCATTTTCCTTCTTCAGGCGGTTCTGCACGTCCTTCAACGAGAGCTGCGCAGGTTTCTGTTCAACGCGTTTCTTTCTCAGTCGAGTCTGCAGTTCCTTTAGTGTTAAGCCATCGCTATCGCTATCAGAAGTATCATCTTCCTCTTCCTCCTCGTCTTCCTCCTCCTCCTCTTCCTCCTCTTCTTCTTCCTCTTTTGTGACTCTGCTTTTGGAGCCTTTCTGATCCTTACTACTCCTAGTGACAATCCTTCGAGTTACAGGTTTTATGTCTGGAGTGCTCTCCACACTATCTTCAGAAGCGGTTTCAGCATCTGTAGCCGGACAGGACACTCCTTCACCCGAATCTTCCAGAATGGTAGGAACAATCCTCCTCCCTCTGCGTCTTACCCTGGT